TAATAACCAAAATTTCTTCCCAGAAAATTTCTGTAGAATGAAAATAGTTCGTTAGGGCATAAATTGTCCAAAATACTTCAAACTTTAGTTCTTCCTCTTATAATATAATAATTGCAACCTAAATATGTAAAATTGAAAGTAACCTATGAAATTCCAGATCGTGAATACATTAAAACCCACGTTTTATAATCAAACTTGCACTCCAATTAATAACCCAGACCAAAAAAATTGCTGTATAATTCTGTTTCCAAACTAAGCATTTCGTTCTTCGGTCCCGAAAAATCTTTTCACCATCAGGTTGTTTCCAACGAATCAGTTACGTATACAGCGTGTCAAATGAATTGATCACAATTCGTAGAGACTTCGGAGCGCATTAGGCTGACGAAACGGAACGGAAAACGCGACGGATGTGTGGGCGCGTCCTGGCGCCAGCGGGCGGGAGGCAGGGGTGCATAAACCCCCTGGTGGTAATCTGTCGCTTATTTGAATAACAGCAACGAGGTGTCCGCGGAATGAATCGCGGGGCGCGACAGAGAAGTAGCGGACGCGGTGCGTCGCGTTGTACGCGGGATCGCCGACGAGACGGTGACAAACAGCGATACGGTGGAAACGTGGACACCGGCCGGGCCGGCCGGCCGTCGTCGTATTGACAAACGACCTAACGCCCGTGCGGACCGCCGCCTATGCTGCTGCGTTCGACGAGATTCGAATTATCTCTGTTGGAGCTTGTCAATGCAAATGCCATACCTACATTCAATTACCGCTCGTCACGCTCCGATCACCGCGCGGCTGCTCGACCGCGGAATATTCCCAATATCCCGCTTTTTTTTCAAAGACACAGATTTTTCAATCGTTTACCCTGATTTCCGTAAAAAAATCTCACAATTTTACTATTTATTCATAACCGATTCGAAACCTCGTGTTTTACCGAAAAAAAATCAATTCTCTGATTAAGTGGAATGCTTGCAAATATTTAAGACGTGCAAAAACTGTTACAAAAGATTGAAAACCTGATTTTAATTAAATATGTAATTTCGTTATAAATTACAAATTTATACATTAATGTGCTATATTTTTTTATATATAAATTACAATCTATTGTTCGCATTGGTACTTCAGTTTGGTACCAGCTTAATTTATAATCACGACTTTTGCAATATGACCGAATAAATTTTGATTTCTATTTATTCCTTATAGAAGAATTTAAGACCGGCCATTTGACTGGTGCAAAGTAGATTTAGTGTTAAGAAATTTGCATACAGTGAAATTTTG